TCTATACTGTTTAACCTGTCATCAGAAACTGTCGCATTCACGACCCCACAGTCTTTAGTATCGTGGATACGTGTTATACCTGGTAAACAACTAACTAAAAACGCCAATAATAAGCTAATAAACTATTGCAGTAACCAAACAACATTAATACAGTACTGTATTGGCTTTTTGTAAATGCTTTATCAAAAGGTAAGAATAAGAATAAATAAAAGATATCAGTGGAAAATTCAAAAACCATATGTATTTAAGCGCTGAGTATTGCCGCCACCACTCGTATCAACAACGCTGGAAAATGATCCTGACGGGAGTTGGTATCGTTCAGTTCCGGTTATCCTCCTTTCAGCTTCACGTTCACCGTCCCTTGAATCATCCATACGATCCTCTATCGAACTAAACAAAAGGGTTCCTTGAACTTCTGCACCACTCTTCCTAAAAAAATAATAAGAATAACAAAGGATTTCCGAACATATCCATAATTGTTTAGCTAAATCACTGTAGTAAATAAATAGGAGAAAAGAAGCTGTGTAGAAGCATTAGAATGTTTTAGCCAAGACCTCTACAGTAGACAATGACAGTTCTTCAATTTTAAGTAAAATAAAAGACCACTAATAAACAGTTTAAAAAAAGCATCTTTTTAGCCTTCCTGTTTACTTTAGCAAAAGTACTCCATTAGATGATTACAAACTGAAAGATTTCCATAAGCCCTATAGTAACTTCTGTCCCAGCCACGTAAAAAATATTTCAACCGCCCCAGTCAAAACTCAAAATATTACGTCAGCTTCGTCCTCAGACATCAACAGGAATGAAAGAACTGATATTGTAAAAAATGTGTAAAGAATCCTGATAAATAAAAGAAGAATTGGAAACAACTCAGAGCAAATTTCAATTATATCTGCTGAAGTAAGCAGAAGATTAGTCCATTATGTGTTTTGAAACTAAATTTTAAAATCCCTTGACTTACAATTAAACAAAGAATTATGGATATCTTGGAAAGAGGCATTGAAAGCTTTAATAGTCACGGAAAAGTTAAGATTCAAAAGACGTTAAAAATTACAAAGAAAACCAAAAATACTAAAACTATAAGATCCGTTGCAAGAGATTAGCAATACGACGGAAAAGGATAACTGCTCCATCACTCAACTCCACAGTGAAATAAGCCTTC